CTGGTTACTCATTCGCATTCTCATTCTCATTCGGCATCGAAACTCTCAAGGCTGTGAGCTGCATATGATTATAAGTTCCAGACTTGTGCCATTTCAATTTGCTCTTTGACATTCCCTCTCTGTGTCAAATGCAAATTGAAAAATCATCGAATGGCCCTGGCCAAGCAACGCTGGCATTTTGGCTGCCGGAAGCGTTTTGCTGCCGCCCCAAACTAATATTGAGGCAGGGGCGCTGCAAACTGTTTCCGCTCCATGGCCGGCGGAAAGGAAAACTCAATGGAAATGGAAAGCTGGATCTGAACCCCAAGCTCTGTGCCTGGCCTGGTCTGGCTTGGCTTGGCTTGGCTTGGCTTTTTTGGCACGCAAGAGGGTACATGGTTTTGGCACTACTCCCGATCCTGCCACTCCTGTTGTTGTTATTGTTGCCCGTTGCCAAAAGTCGCTTGTTAAACAGCGGAAACGGAAACGCCAACAGTCGCACAAAGGGAGCACAAGCACACAGGCGGCTTTGGCAACAAGACGCCCACCGGCATCCATCGGCATCGCCATCGTCATCGGGCCGAGTGGCAACGTTTTTGAAAAGTGTAAATCAAACTAATTGAATGTTTTTCGCCGAGCGAACAGCCGGTGCCAAAGATATATAACTGCGACACGCCCCGTTTAACAGGCAGGGAGATATGTACTCGTTCTACAGAAAGAAAGGAGGAAAAAAACAAGAAAAGAAAACTCGAGCACTACTGTGATGATAAGAAATTCAATTTCGTTCGATGCACACGCTTCTGGTTGAGTGGTGCACGCTCCTTTGACAATTTGATTTCGCAAATATCGCACATACGCAGTGTTGCAGGGTGGCTCTCCCTAATCAAAGGCCCATTGAAGGATCAAAGCCGATTTTGCTAATAGTCGCTATTCATTAACTGCAGCAGAAAACAAGCCTTTACGCCAAAGGAAACAGAATGCAAAAAATAAACCAATCAAAGGCCCATTGAAGGGGATTAGCACTTAGGACTACTGCATCAAGCATACGCCATGTATACAGTTTCCACTACCCAAAGGGTCAAACATCAAGCCAAGATCAGTGCTCATTCTGCTAATAGTCACTATTCATTAACCGGCAAACCCTCGAATCAATTTGCAATGAAACCCTTAGTTAAGCTGCAGGTAAGCCGGCTCCGGCTTGGCCCCACCCCACCTGCATTTGTCTGCGGCTGCAAATTGCCGTTAATTTAATGAGCATTTTGGCCATAAAATCACTTGGCACGGCTCAATTGCCACGACGCTGGCAGCCGGCACAATTTATTTGACTGTTAATTAGAAATTTAAATTATGCGCTTAGCCTTTGCCCTCGAAGAGGCACTTCCTCCTCCACCTCAAAGCCGCCGAAGCCACCGATTACTCTCTCTTCGTTCGCCATTCAATTGGCGCTGCACAAAATTAATTGCAGGCAACGGCAACGGCGGCAGCCAGCGCCTTGGAGCATCGTTTGCGCCCTGGCAAATTCGAAATAATTTATAATTTGGCACAATTACGCTCAGCCGCAGGCCAGCCTTCGTCCTTCGACGGCTGCTCCTTGCCGCAGAAGGCAGGCCGTTGGACGGGGGCCATGAACTGGCCTGATCTCATCCCGGGTTTCCAGTTCGGGTTGGGTTTGGGTTTGGCTTCGGTTTCGGGAGCCCGGGGTTATATGGGTCATTTGCCATGCAATTGCATTTTATTGATTTTCCTGATTTTCTCTGGCTGGCTGGCTGGATGACTGGATGGCCAGCTTGTTGGCCGACTGGCGGAGATGCAATAAACTTTCACTTGTTTTGTCGCCGTCGCCTAGAAGCGGGAAAGCGGAAATCAGCGGGCGCGGCGGGAAAGCTGCGGACACTGGTAAACACATTGCTCATAGCCAAAACATTTGGCACACTGCCGCGACCAGACAACCAGGATGCACTGCCACAGAAAGTGGGGATAGAAAATGTACCATTCAGTTTTTACTAAACTAACTTTTTAAAATAAAGATTTCAATTTAATGAATAAAGTTGAAAAGCGTCCCTTTTAGAAACACCAAATAATTTTCGTTAAATATGCCAATAAAAATAAAATAAAATCTATAAAATGGAAAATAATGGCTTAGTTTTAGTTCTCTAAATGGAAACAGTATACATTTTTCAGCAACAAAATAGCCAGCTCTTCCTTTAAAAACTCTAATATTTTGACTTAACTAAGCTGAAGCTTAAATGACCATCAACTTTAGGATTGCAGGATTAAAGTAAGACAAATCTCCTTCCTTTTTTCTCTGTGCAGCAAGACCAGCAGATCTAGCTGGGATTGTCAAGTGGTTTTTGGCTCGGTCCCGAGATTTGGCTACGCTTTTGTGATTTCTTTTCTGCTGGTCCATTGTTTGCCCAGAAATTGGGTCAATAGCCTTTTTGAGGGAGGTGTCCTGCCCGCAGCATCAGATGCTTTTGCCTTTCCTGCTCCTCCTGCTGTTGATGATAATGATGAGGGGGATGATGACGTTGGCTAGCTCGGCTGATGAGCAGCGAGCCTGGCCCAGACTTGCAGCCATTGTTTCAACTTCTGTGCATGTAATTTCCTCCTGCTGCATGCAGCAAACTACTCCCTCCAATGTGCGAGAGTGTGTGTTGCTGGTTTTTCACTTTTGTTGCTGCCACACTGATTACTGCTGCTTGTTAGTGCGTTTGACTGTGCGGTTTTTATGCTCGTTTACATGCATGTATTTGTATACCGAAGTCCTTGCCAAGCACTAAGCACTAAACACCGAGCACCGAGCTCGAGCACCCAGTATCCATCCGCCAACCATCCCTCTGCACTTTTGCCAAAATACACATTTTAGCTTAATTTGCAACTTGTTAGCTGGCAGCAAAACAATCTCCCGTCGGTCTCGCCAAAAACTCATGTGTAAACAAATCAAACTTGAAACTAAAGCTTAGCCCCCGAACATTTCGCAATAATGAGCAATGCTCGGGGGCCAAAAGAAAACTTGGTCCTCGTCCCTGGTCCTGGTGCCCAACAGCCCAAAAACCCAACAGCGGGGCAACAAGTGGAGTTCCCGAAGAAGCCAACTTTGTTAAATCAGCTTTAAGCTGCAGCAGGCTATTTGTAGCCCAAGCTGTTTGTCCGCCAAGATACCCCGATGTTTGCCAACTTCCTTTCTCATTTCATAGAAACAAAGGTCCACTTGGCTCGATTCCGGATTTAGCCGGCGAGTGTTGTTTAAAATGCGTAACCATATCCCGACCATGAATTTATGCAGTCAACTGTGTAAAAGGCGTAAAATGTCCAAAGACCATCAGTGGTGGTGGTGACTTGGCCTGGCCTGGCGTGGCATTTGTTTTGGTTGGAGGAAACCGCCGTAAGGAGTGTTTCTCCAGTAGCTACCAAACGGCGGCCTCTTCATTCATTTCATGCTCCATTGCATTGCGATATGTGTCAGGAAGAGGACAATCAGGCACTCGGAAAAAAAGGTGACAAGTTGAAGTCAGATATATGTATAAAGATTTGATTTAAGTCTGCCAAAGTATTAAAGATCTATTAGCAAGTATATAGAATTAGAGTATTTATTAAAAGCAACTTTCTATAACAGCCAATTTATTTGCCGTGCATCTTAGACCACCAGCAGCGTCTGGGAACCATATAAGATACCACTCAGCCAGATCCATCTGGGACTTGTTTGGCCAGCAGACTACTCGCAATCGTTGTTTTTATTCAATTACCAATTCGAATTCGAATGCTGTCATTGGCCCACTCCAGTCCATCGAAAGCAGCTGCAGCCGTTTGTCTTGCCAATTGGCCGGAGCCATCAACAAACCGAACCCAACCGGAGCATTATTGTAATTCAGGCAGCAGCCAGGAGCAAGTATCAAGCAGTGGCTCTCGATTTTAAATTGTTTGGAAGCAATAAAAAGTTTATCAAGTGTAAAGCGTAAAACAGCGCACGAAGCCCTTGACTTTCGGCACTCAGTGTTAATTGTGTTGAGCTTTAAGTTGGGAAATGGTGCCACATTTCAAGGACCTGGCAAAGTAAAGCTACCAGGGCTTAAATCAAGGCAAAAGTAATACAAAACAAAGGGCCCCCAAAAACACACCCTCCCTCTTACACACACACACACAAAAGCAGAGAGAGAAAAACGCACAGCAAATAAATCAATTGGCTTTGCCTAAAACGTTTGAAATTGATTTCAAGTTCTTCGGCCCATTGTTTTTATATGCAACAAAGGGACAATTTTTCATTTCCAACGACAACAATAAAAGCAACACAAGGTCCTTTTCATGGTGGCACTGCCACAAACACACACACCCAGAAATAGACACACACATGCGGTCGATCCCTGGGCATGTAAATTGGCCGCATTGTTTATGAGCTCTGCTATCCTCCGTGTCCTCCGTGCCAGCCAGCCCCTCCTCGCCCTGCCATTGACTATTGATTGTCAATTCAGTTTAAGCGCCGCCCATAAATTCAGTAAATGAGCAGAGGTCCAGCAGAAGCTGCTGCCATTCTTCTTAATTTGCTGAAATGCACAAAAACAATTTTCAAATTGCACGAAAGACGCCCACAACGCGAATTCGATTTCTCTTCTTGATAGTTCGCTTGTCCTCTTGATTTTGTAGAGATTTTGTATATAGCATAGCAACTTTGAGCTTATTTGTATTTATCTAGATACAGCTCTATATTGATAGAAACTTTTCCTTTTCCCTCAGAGATTAGTTACTAGAACTACAGCTTTTTAAACACCCAAATCGTAGAGTCAAAGGCACTTCAAGTGTTTGTGTGTCCAGCGTGTGTTTGGTCATTAGACCTGACACATTGTCAACACGCAACAACTGCCAACTGACAGCCGTCAACTGTTTATGTTTGCCATTTACCAGGCAAAACATTTTGATTACGCATACGCCATGTGGATCGAAGCGACGTTTGTTGCTTTGACAGGCGCCTCGAATTCCATTCGCCCATAAATAAAAGTCAGCTGCTGGTCATCAGTCGATTGGAGATGCATTCGCTGCTTGTTTGTGTTTCAGCGCTTTGCTTTTGTCAGCTTTGCCAGGCAGGCGCGGGGATTCCCCTCTGCAAGGATTGTCGGGTGAATGTGATATATCCTGGTGAGGGAAAACCCCAACAGCAGTTGCCAGAGAATCATCAAATAGTTCGCATCATCAACGACTACAGGCGAATCACCAAAGAGCAAATGGAAATTCAGGATGAGATCAGGCAGCATAGATTGCAGGTGAAGGATTTCAACTTTATAGCCAAGGTAAAGTTGGAAAATGTCATACGATGCAGTGCGGCCTTGGTGGGCCCACGACTGCTGATCACCTCAAGTACTTGCTTTGTGAATAAAACATCTCAGCAACTGAGAGTCCTTTTCCCTGGTGGAAGAACTTTTGATATTGATAGTATAGTAAAACCTGATTCTTGCCCTGAGATTAGCCTGCTCCTTTTGAAGTCAGAAGTTTCTGAAATCAATCCGATTTACCTGTGTCATCAGGACATACAGTTGGGCATTAACGCCTCAATGATGATGGCCAGTCCTGATCTCAGTTTTTATGGCCGTCGGCACACTAAAATCATCTCGAATGAGGTCTGCCAGACTACTTTTTTTGAAGAAGATTCCGTTTTTACTACCTCCAATATGATGTGTGCCATGAACTCCATGACGCCAGATAAGTGTGCCACTTCTCCAGGGGATGCCTTGCTGATAGACCACAAGCTGTGTGGCATAAATATTTATGGATTCCGCTGTTTCGTAAATGAACTCAACGGCGATCTCTACATAAACCTGAGTAAGCTGCAGCCCATGATCGGCGATTTGATACGGCAACTAAATGTTAAAGTCGGAAATTGAAATCAGTTTCAGTTTTACATTATTTATATTCATGAATGGAACAGGTTCAGTTTGCTAACTATTATGCACCAGAAGCCTTTAGTACTAATACTAATAATTTACCATGGAATCCCTTCAGTTTTGGGATATTTCGACTCCGCGCCGCAGATGAATATGGGTGACCTACCCTCAAAAGGACAATCCTATCAAATAGTTCGTGTCATTGAGTATATAGTTCCATATCCCTATCAAAGACCACCCAACATATCTGCCAGAGGGGCAAGTGTTAACACAATGGAGCCAAACAGCCTGGAGATTATTCCAGCTGATATTGAAAGTCTTCTTACCGCTGGACAGAGAACAACAGCCAAGCCCAAGGCAGTTAAGCACTTTCTGATGAGGATCCTCTACGAAAATAAAGTTATCTGCAGTGGGGCTTTAATCTCCAGCCGTTTGGTGTTAACTTCCGCCCACTGTTTTCCCAGGAATTTCAGTAAAGCTTCCGCTCATTTATATAAACTCCAAGCAAGTAGAAGTCGCATTTACTCTGTGACGAATATAATTCTCGGCTCCATGGAAGACATGGCCCTGATGTTACTCCAGTTACCGCTCCAGGATTCATTCGTCCAGCCGATTGAACTCTGTGACAAACCACTCCGCAGGAATGACAATGTCAGCATCTACATGTCACAACAACATCTGCGCTTCCTGCGCACCAAACTCATTGCCAATGGAAACTGCAAGCGAAGTTATGCCCAGGACGAGAACGCCTTCATCACCAAGACCATGTTATGTGCTTTGAATTCGAACAGATTGGTGGACTGCCAGACGGCCAAGGGGGATCTGCTCCTGCATCAAGATCAAATGTGTGGTGTGAACATCTATGGACAGCACTGCTCCGATGGAGCCATCAATGGAGAGCTCTATGCGGACGTTTTCAAGGCCAGGTCACAGCTGTTGCCATTGATTGAGCGCTACTCCGCTTGACAGGCTTAAAACATTTTAAATTGTTTACTGCTTTATGAAGTTCAGCTTTTAAATAATATTATTGAAAACAGCTAATGCAACTTTCTAAGTCATATTTAAAACATTTTCATATAAAAAGTCGTACAGTAAAATGAAATCTTTAATATATTTTCTAGTAACATTTGATTTGTGTTAGCCTCACATATTTTATTCCAACCAAAAATAAAAGGCAAATACATTTATTGTCGCTGTTCAATGTTCGATGTTCAATGTTCGTGTGCTGCCCAAATCAAATCAATCTCACTAAACAAACACTGAAAATAAAAGGGCGAAAGTGGGTTGGAACCACCGAAAAATGGCAGAATAAAAAATAAGGGAATGCCGCCTTCTGCTGGTCGCTGGGGGAAAATTGAAAGTCGCAGCCAACAAAATCAGTGGAACACAAAGAACACAAGCTGGTGATGTTTTTTTAACATTTTATTTTCTTTCAATTTGCGGCTTAAAAAAGTTAACTGTTCCCATCAAAATGCCCTGAACTGCAATGACTATGATGTATGTAAATTTGAACAAAAAAAAAACAAATAGAGAAAAACAAAATGAAAAATTGTTATGAGAGAAAAAAATAAAAACAGACACAAAAGCTACCAAAACCCTCTAAAAACATCATGACAGCAAAAAGGTGTTACACTTGGCTTGAAATTTACACCATTGGTGGGCGTGGCAGCAAAGGGGCTGTTGCGGCAACACAGAGGGACTGATGGAAAAATGAAAAAAAAACGCCTGAAGCTGCGCCGGAGGCCATGGATCCGTCGCTGGCTTTTGGCTTTGGCTTTGCGCTAAAATATGCAATTTTGTCATGAAATATGCACATGTCCACAGCGCGGCAAGGACGATCCGCCAGCAGGCGGCCAACCTACCATCACCACCCACATGCAGCACCACTATCAGCGACAGCAACAAAATAAATTTAAAAAGCAACATACATAAATAAATTAAACATTTAAAAAACCCAACGGGAATAATGAAAGATATAAAAGGCTTAGACTGAACGAATCTGAAAGTGCCCTTTATGGATGGATATTTATAAATAATTATAATGAGATCTTACTCAATATCTTACAAGGATTCTTGTAATAATAATATACAAAATAATATAAAATATGTAAATCAAGGATTCTTATAATAAAAATATACAAAATAATATTAAATATGTATATCAAGGAAATTAGCTGGATAAAGGGCATCAAAGGTATCCATAAACTCTAAACTAAAGTCAGCTATGACTTTTCGACGCCCACCATTTGACATTTAAATGCGGCGAAGCCTGTCGAAAATGTTGCCAGCAACATCAGCGCGAACAACTAAATTTATGTACATAGAAATTAATATTAAAGAAAAAAACAAATAGAATGTTTTCATAGAAAATAAAGGATTCAAATGCCGATGATGGTATGGTATTAGTGCAACACGGGATAATAATGAAACAGAAAACAAAAATGGCATGAAAAAAACTCACAACACTCGTGTGATAATAAAAACAATAAAACAAATATATTCCATTTGACTAAAAAATTGTTTCCCCCGGGGCTTGCCGACCCCGCCTCCAACCACTTCAAGCACTTTAGCCACTTCACCCACTTTGCCGCCCCCTTTTTCAGCGACCCGCTGACCTACCGCAAATATTTATTGTTTGACAATTTTTATTGCCTACTTTCAGGCGATTGTCGCTAGCGCAAAAACGGAAGCGACACAACAACAAAAAAAAGTAGGAAAACTTTTCAGAAAAAAATTCAAAAGGCGTTAAAATGATTTTGAGAAACTTTTGCCTTACGTGACTTTGGACCCAACATCGGCGACCACTCGCCGGGCCTACATATTGTTCAATTTCCGTCCGGGCCGGACTGACTGAATCAAATAGGTGGCATAAACAGCAGCCGCCGCGGCAACAAAAGTGTTCGGGGACCCTGCGATGGGTATAAAATAAAAGTTTTCCACTTAAGGTTTATGAAAAGTTTAAGCCCGGCCGCCCATCCGCCCGAAGGGGATCCTCCCACATTCACACCTACCGCACGCCGTCAAATGCGGAAACGGAAACTACGGTCGAAAAATGATGAATACACCACGTCGGTCGGCGGACCAAAAAGAGGGAAACCCCATCCCCCTTCGATCCCTGGCCAATACAACACAAAAACACACTCCAGAGGGATGCCGGCAATGGCTATAATATCCTTGGACCTGCTCAAAGATTTTTCGCAATAAGGAAACGGCGAACGCTAGATTTCCCTTCCACCTTCAACTTCCTGGCCATAACCACTTAGGACCCACCAAGTTTTTCCCGACACAGAGGTGGTCGGGTTGGGGGAAAACTCCCCAAATGCAAATAATAATGTAATTGCCGGCAATTTTCTTCAAGACTTGTTTACCTTTCGCTTCAGCGTTTGCGTTGTTAAACTTTTATGAGATTTGGACTGAATTTTAAAGCATTTACACCTGGCCCGCAATGACAAATGAGCAAATGAATTGAACCCTATTGCGGGGCTGAGAGCCAATTTAAAATCCCCTCGGCTAATTGCAGGTCGGACCCACTAATTGAGTGCAAGTCAAGCAAATCGCCTAATTAGCGGAGGCAATCTAAGCGGACTACGATTGCCATTCGAGGGAGTCCGTTGCCGGAGCTGGTGAAAAGGATATGCAATTTGCGCGGACAGGACACTTGATCTGAGTCGAAGCGCGGAATTGACAGGCCGGCCGCAGTATTCCGGTTTAATGCGTTATTAATTGGCTGGTTAACCGGCAGTAGCGGAATGGGATTTGCCTTAATTTCCTCATCGTACTTGGACACTAGGTGAAAAGCAGTACTACAACAAAATTTTTACAAATTGCAGTTTTTTTAAGAATTTTATAGGAATTGAAGTCTCAACATAAGTTATTTTAAGTAAATTCATTTGCCAAGAATATTAAAAAAAGACATTCAAAAATATTTCAAAGTGCACTCGTTTGACTTTTCGTATATGTAAATGACCGTGCATATTTTTCCGACTCCACTTACGGACTAAGTGCTAGGCCGGAGTACATTTCGAGAATGTTTTCGGATGTCGCCGGCAAGACCACGTGCCAAGGGGCAACCACGTGCCATTGGGGCCAACCACGTCGCCCGTTGACTTTTCATAGATTTAGGAGTACATTTTTCTTTGGGGCCACAGCACCACTTTACCGCTGAGCCGAACGCACCGCCAAGTTTTCCGGTGGGTGGATACGTGCCACGTCCACGTAGCACCACCACTGTCACTGTCTTTTCTCGTACGCCACATGTGTTTGGGGCACATACACACGTAGGTACATACATATTTATTTGAGCTGCGCATAATGAGCGTTATTTATATTTAAGCAGCTGCGGAGCAGACACAAATCGTAAATAAAACGTTTTAATTTATTGGGCAAGTGATAATTTCGGAAAGCATAGGCCTAGAAAATGCTATAAAACCGCCATGATAATTCGACAACACGAATATGTTCGAATATGTTTAACCCCAGGACTATCAATCAAATTAACCCATAGCCCAAGGCCAAGTAGCAAAGTACCCAAATTGATTTGTTGGCCTTTGGGCAAGGTCAACCTTTGACGTAGCCAGACGTCTAGTTGGCGTGCGATATAAATATAATTGGGCAAAGTGAAAAGCTAATTGAGCTTGGACAACCTTGGTAGGTGAAACCCAAGGCGATTGATTTACTAAGTCGAAATTAAAGGAATGCAGATTCGGTTGTCAAATTTGCATTAGGCCAATGCTGTTGGCAAAACATGAATAAATGTCAGTATTTGTTATCGTTTTTAATTTTCTTTTGATTTTATATTCAAATTGATATACATAACTATTCAGTCACGACTAAATAACTAATTGATCTAAGCACCTGGGACCCACCCGCAACTAAATCCTAAATCCAACAGAAGTGTCCTTTTTTGTTTCAACTTATTATTGCATCTCAGAGTTCCATTAGGACTCAGCCAGCTTCTTTTGCCCTCAAAGCTTATTATGATAATTGGAAATTATATGTAAAAATGATGACTTAGCGGCCAAGGGCCTCCAGACAATCATCCCGAACCAAACTAGCATCTCTGCCGCATTAATCAGATTATTAATGGCGCATAAAAGAATGATATAGCGATGGACGCAGAGAACAAAACGTAATTGAATACTAATGCAATCAATTAAAGTTAAACTCCGGGCACACGTGCAAGGGAGGCGAAGAAAAAAAGTTGTCAGGATAAATCTCGGAGGGTCCTTCTGCGGAAATGCAATGAAGGCTGGTGACTAGTCCGATGATGCTGATGAGTTCAATCAAGTTGTAAACATGATTCCACATTCTATTAATGCGCCGCCAGTCTCAGTAACTCAATACACAATCAACGGCGTTTTAGAGTTCATTTGCGTGGTATAAAAAGGGAAATCGAATCATAAAAAATAATATGCCGCTTTGTGGAAGTCGGAATGGGTGTGTGTGTGTGAGTGTATGTGTGAGTCCTTCCTGAAGACAGCTGAAGAGGAAAAAGGAATCAACATCGACAAGTCCTTACCTTTGGCATGCTAACGGAGACGTGGAAAATCCTCCTCCTCTGTTCAACTTCAAATTGATGCAATTTATGAAAACTTTTGTGCGCTCAATTGCAAATACAAGTGTACAAGTGTACAATCTCTGTCATTTTTATGCACTTCCCCTAGTTATGCCAAAGCAATTTCTCTCTTTTGGCAAGTTTGCTTTCGTTTTCGCCCGAGTTCCTATCTTGATTTTCCAGCCTTTTTTTTCTGCTTGAGCGATACAAATTTCTCTGCACTTTTCCCTTTTTATTTCGTTTTTGTTGCCATTCGTGCATTGTGCGGCAAATTAAGCGCATTGCAAGTGATTTGATTTGCTTTCATATAGAAAATACTTCAAATTTCCCTTTGCCATTGCCAGAGCAGCAATCACTTTAAAGTTGCCAGGAAAGCAACGACTGCGAACGAAAAGTAATTCCCAGCTAATGA